CTGTCCCAAAGGGTACGAGATCCTTCTTCTTTACAGCTGCATAGTATTCCATGGTGTAAATGTCCCACAGCTTTTTCATCCGCTCATCTACTGATGGGCACTTGGGCTGTTTCCAGATCTCAGCTATTGTAAATTGTGCTGCTATGAACATAGGGGTGCATATATTCTTTCTGGTTAGTGTTTCAGGATTCTTAGGATATATTCCTAGAAGAGGGATCACTGGGGTCAAACGGCAGCTCCATTTTTAATTTTTTGAGGAACCTCCAAACTGTCTTCCATAGAGGCTGCACCAGTCTGCATTCCCACCAGCAGTGTACTAGGGTTCGCTTTTCTCCACACCCTCTCCGGCACATGTCGTTTATTGATTTGTTGATGGTAGCCATTCTGACATTCGAGAAGCAATACCTCATTGTGGTTTTAATTTGCATCTCTCTGATGAGTAGTGACGTTGAGCATTTTATCATGTTTCTCTTGGCCATCTGTATGTCCTCTTTGGAGAAGTGTCTATTTGGGTCCTTTGCCCATTTTTTAATTGGATTGTTTGTCTTCCTCTTGCTAAGTAGTATGAGTTCTTTGTACACTTTGGAAATTAGCCCCTTATCTGATCCTTGGCAAATATGTTCTCCCATACCATGGTGTTCCTTTGTATTTTGAGAATGACTTCTTTTGATGTGCAGAAGCTTTTTAGTTTGATGTAGTCCCATTTGTTTAGTTTTTTCCTTTGTTTCTCTTGCCCTAGGAGATGTATCAGTGAAAATTCCACTATGTGAGATGTCTGTGACTTTACTGCCTATGTTTTCTTCCAAGATTTTTATGGTTTTGTGACTTAAATTTAAGTCTTTTATCCATTTTGAATTTATTCTTGTGTACAGAATAAGTTGGTGATTTAGTTTCATTTTTTTGTATGTACCTTTCCAATTTTCCCAACACCATTTATTGAAGAGACTGTCTTTCCTCCATTGTATGCTTTTGCCTCCTTTGTTAAATATTAATTGACCATAATGGCGTGAGTGGATTTCTGGGGTCTCTGTTTGTTCCTTTGACCTATATGTCTCTTGTACCAATATCAGGCTGTTTGGATTACAATGGCTTTGTAGTATAGTTTGATATCCAGTAAAGTTATCCTTCCAAATCTGTTCTTCTTTCTCAAGATTGCTGCAGCTATTTGGGTCCTTTTTGTTTCCATATAAATTTTTTCAATATTTGTTCTAGCTCTGTGAAATATGCTGTTGGTATAGATTCAATGACATAGAAGCATGGAACAGACTGAGGAATCTCAGGGGGAAGGCAGGGATGGGTGGGGAGAGATTAACCAAAAGATTTATATATATATATATGTGTGTGTGTGTGTATATATATATATGTATATATATATATATATATATATATACATATATATATATGCATAACCCATAAACACAGGCAATATTGTGGTGAAGGCCTGGGGTGTGAGGCGAGTGTGGGGTAGAAGGGGTCAGTGGGGGAAAAGGGAACATCTGTAATACTTTCAACTATAAAGATAAATAAAAAATAAGATTATTGTA